CGGATCCGCACAGCGCGGCTCGGCACAGCGCGGCTCGGCACGGCACAGCGCGGATCGCACGGCACAGCGCGGCTCCTCTCGGCACGGCGCGGCACGGCGCGGCTCCGCTCGACCCGGTTCGGCTCGGCTCCGGCGGCTCCCGAGCCATTCAAACAAGTGGCTCCAGCAGCACTTCGGAGCTGGGGCTGGCGAGAGGGCGCAGCGCGGCTCCCTGCCCCGGAGGCGCCGGGCCCTTCACACTGACTCTTTCTCCAGCGCTCGCTCTTTATTTGACGATGAAATAATGTTGACATGTCTTGAATTATTAAGTATTCCCTGGATTTTATTAGCACATGATGCCTAAATGCTGCCTGTATCTGCTGGGGTCTTAACCAGCGAGGAGCGAAGGAGAGAGGCAGAGAGACAGAGCGCGAGAGAAGAGAGAGAGGGGTTTTTGACAGCTGTATTTGTGCTGATAAGCGAAGGCACAAGGAGACGATCGACTAGTGAGACAAGAGGGAAGCGGCGGCAGGGAGCTGCTGAGAGGGGCTGTGCTTCCCTCCGGAGACGGCTCGGCCCTCCCGGCGCCGTGCTGGGGCTTGGGGGGGACCCGAGCCCCCTCCCAGCGCCTGGCCGGGGTCTCGGTCGGTGCCCGGGGGCAGCTCGCTGGCCGGGCACGCCAGCCACGCTGGGCAGATGCCGATTGAGATCGTGTGTAAAATCAAATTTGCTGAGGAGGATGAGAAGCAAAAGGAGAAAGAAGAAGGGGATAAGGAGAGCCTGATTGAAGAGCCAGCACGGCCCCGGTCCCGGGACCTGGCCGCCTTTGCCAGCGCCAGCACCCTGCACGGCCTCGGACACATCTGCCGATCAGGACGGCTGGGTGTGCGCCAGACCCTCTGGGCGTTTGCCTTCCTGGCCTCGCTCGCCTTCTTCCTCTACCAGGCGGCCAAGTCGGCGCTGCTCTACCTGGAGCACCCCCATGTCATGGCCTTGGACGAGGAGGCCATTCGCGAGATGGTCTTCCCTGCCATCACCATCTGCAACATCAACCGCTACCGGCACTCGGCACTCACCGACGCCGACATCTTCCACTTGGCCAACATGACGGGGCTGCCCCCGAAGGACCGGGATGGCCACAAAGCCACGGACCTGCTCTACCCTGACCCTGACATGGCTGACATCGTCAACCGCACCGGCCACCAGCTTGACGACATGCTCAAGAGCTGCAACTTCAGTGGTGAGAACTGCTCCTCCCGCGACTTTGCTGTGGTGAGTGCACTCCTGGCTCAGCCCGCTTCTCCCGAGGCCCCTGCCAGCTCTACGAGCACTGACCCGGCCGTGCCTTGCCCGAGCGGGGATCCCTAGCTTGCTCCTGCTGCTGAAGTTTGCATCTCTCGGTGTTTGAGTTTCCCTCCAAGTTTTGCAGAGGGAGAACGAGAGCCCTCGCTGGGAGCTCTCTGTGGGTCTCTGCGCCGCAGGACCAGGCTGCCCACGGCTCCTCCATGGAGGGGGTTGCAGGCAGGGTCTGGGGCACTGTGTGAGCAGGGCTCGGAGGTCTCTGGGGTGGGCATGCAGTGGGAAGGGGGAAAGCTGTGCTGTGCAGCCTTGCTCCAGCCAACTTCTTCCCTGTGGGTTGAGCTGCTCTAGAGCGGGGTGTTTTTCACAGCTGGAGTGGACTGGGTGGGACATAGACCCTTTTGCATGTGGAGGAGCCCCCTGCTTTTATGGGGTGGCAGTGGGGTGCATGTGTATCCAGGAGCCTTGTGCACACACATGTGTGCAGATGCACATGTTGAGCACCCCGAGCAGGTCTGCATGGGGACACGGCTCTGTCCAGGTGGCCTGTGGCTGACCCACTTGCCACCCGGGGTGCACGGGCAGGGACCTCCCTCCCTCCAGCAGCACCAGTGCCTGCCCAGCCAAGCAGGCAACCAGCCGGACGCTGCAAGTGTGCAGCGCTCTCCAACGCTGAGCCTGAAATCACAAATCCCTGCTGTGGTTTGGGAAAATAAATGTGCTGAACGGGCAGAATACCTGATGGGACCCTTTTCAGACCGTAATGACTCTGGAAATGAGCCGCCTCTCTCCTACGGCTGCCAGGGGCTACTGCTCCGCTTGCTGGCTGCGCTCGCAGGAGCCGCGCTGCGAGCCGGAGCCGGAGCCGAGCTGGAGCTGGAGCCCGCGCCGTGCTGGGGAGGGGGATGCCACCGCCTGGGTACTTCCCGGGGGAGGAGGACGAGGAGGCTCCGTGGGTCTGGAAATGGCTGGTGCAGCCGTCCTGTTTCCCTCCGTGCCCGTTGGTACAAGGCGGTTCTCTGTGCGGAGTGGAAAGCTCTGCTTGGGGTGGTGTGCGGGGAGCTGCTCTGTGCAGGGCTTGGCATGGGCAACGCTCGTCTGCAGTGGGGTGAGGAAGCGCAGCAGGGGCACTGCCCAGCTCATCCTGGGGTTCTTTGGGCCCCTGTCTGCTGTAGCAGAGCTGCCTGAGCCGTCTGCGGGAGAGAAGTGCGATCCGGCTGGATGAGGGCAGGGCTGGAGCAGGAGCTCTGGAGCTGGTGCCTCCTGCACGTGGTGTGTAGGGCTGCCCTTGCTCTTGGTTGTGCCAGGCTCCCACTGAGGGTCCTGCTGGGCAACCCTGCAGAGCTCAGGTCTGTGCATGGTCACGGGCACGGCGTGCAACCACACTTAGTCCTTCTGGATTGACTGAATACCATAGGGTCCCAAAGCTTGACCAGATGGGAACAAACTTGCCGGAGCCAGGACCTTGCGTGTGGCGTACAGGGCACTGCGGGTCAGTGGGGCTGCCAGGACTGTGACCAGGACCCGGCTTCTCAGTGGGGACGTGCAGCCCCGGCAGCATGTGCTGGGGCTGGGTGGCTGGGAAGAGAGCACGTGGCGAGCATGGGGCTGTGCTGGCACCTTGCACCAGGGCAGGCTCAGCACAGGGGTGCTGAGCACTGACTGCTCCGGCCTGAGCATGGTGGGTCCTGCAGCTTCCCACCGTCGTGTCTCTGCTCGGCGCCCTGTGCCTTGGAGGCAGCAGAGATCCTGCCCGGCGCTGTAGCTCCGCTGTCAGCTCTCCTGGTAGTAGCAGCCGTCAGGCAGAAAGGGGCATCCCCGGCTGCCTGTTTGCAGGCAGCACCCAGAGCAAAGTGGGAATCTCAGTGCAGGAGCAGCCACAGGGCATGGGCTGGGGGAAGGAAGGATGGGGAAAGCATGGCTGGAGGGAAGGGACTCTCTCTCCTGGGAGCTCTCTCCACCGCATCACGTCCCAAAGGTCTTGCTGGGCGGCAGATGTACCTGTCGAGGGAACATGGCGTTTACAGCAGGGGCTTCTGATTGCAGTTCACCCCAACCGAATTGGTCCCCTGCGCCTCCTCCTGGGACTGAGTAAATCAGAGTGCAAGTTGTGTGGCAGTGAGACCCTGTGTCATGTGTGGGCTTGGGAGCTCCCCGACATCCCAGGCTTGTCACAGGGGCTTTGCGCCCCAGGGCGTCCGTGCCCTGATGAAGAGACACCAGGGTTGTGCTTCTCAGACCTCCTCTGTTCTAGTCCTGCACTGCTGTGCACACTTGTGCTTGGAAAGCTCTTGTTCCCTCACCACAGTGAGCAGATAAGCGGGTCACAGCACGTCCCAGGCTGCCGTACATCCTGGTGGAGCAAACAGCATCCAGGACATCCAAACAGCCGTGGGAGCTGACCCCATGTCCCCAGGGCAAGGGGAAGAGGAGGGAACTTCCCCTTCTGCCTCCCAGAGCGGTTCCGGGAGGACTTCATCCACAGGCTGCATGTTGGGATGCCTTGGGATAGCGAAGGGAAGCAGCTGTGGGCAGCCCACTGCCCGGGACCTGTTGTGGGGCGGACAAGTGTCCCCTTGCGCTGCTGCTTGCAGCCTGTGTGTGCATGATAAATACCTCGCGGATCCTTTAAGTAAGAGCCGCGAGTGGTAAATGATCTTCCCCTATTTAACGTCACAAATCCACATTCTTTATGGGATAGCAAATTAAGAAACTATGGGGGAAAAAAATCCCCAGCGTAAGCATCTTCTGCATAATAAAGCCCGGCTGGGCTGTAAATCTCACCAGGCAGCGGGGACAGCACTGAGCCGCAGCAAGGCTCCCCTGCAGCCGCGCTGACAAATGCGCCCCGCGCTGCGGGAGGGACGTGCGGAGCCCCAGGCAGAGCCTCGTGGGAGCCTCCACAAGCCCCGCTCTGCTCTCGCCTTTCCCTGGCATCACTCGTTGTGCCCGGTCCCTGGGATTGCCCATTGCAGCCGGCGGGAGAGCCTGGGTGGCCGCGTGGCGCCCTGCCGGCTGCGCGAGCCCAGCTGCGGAGCCCAGGGGTGCAGCGTGCGGCGCTGGTGCGGGAAATCAATAGCGCTCCTTACGTGCCGTTAAGCGGGAGGTGAGGAAGCGGCCCCACGGGGACGGGGCTCAGCTGCGGCAGGCGCCTCGCTCTTGCTGCCGCTCCAGCGGGATGCCTGGCGCTGGTGTCCTGCTCCCATGCGGATGCATGGGAACATGTGGGGTTCCCGTGGCCGAGCGGGAGCCCGTGTGGCTGGGAGCGCTGCGCAGGGATGCGCAGGGCAGGGGTCCGTGGGCACGCTGGGGCGCAGGAGGCGGCCGTCCCCGCCGCGGGCAGCGTCCCTGCAGCTCCTCGCTGGCCCTGGCTGTACAGGGAAGCTCGGGCCCTGCCCGCCCCGGAGCCCGGCGCCTCTCCGCAAACCTCATTCCCATCAAAAGCCTTTTGTTCCCGATGTGCTGCTGCTCCAGCCAGGCCTGCCGGGCCGGCGCAGGGGGAGAGCGGGGAGCTTGTGAGAGCTGGCAGCGCAGCCCGCGCTGGCACTGTACCCTGCTCTCCAGGCAGGGCGTCCTCGGGAGCCGCGCTGGCGGGGGCTCCCCGCGATGTCACCCGCTCCTGGCCCGTCCCCAGCTCCGGCTGCAGTGCCCTGCCTGGAAAGACAGTGTCACCGGCGGCTCCGGCATCCCGCTGCATGGCGTGCGGGACCGTGCCTGCTGCTGGCCCCTCTCCTGGTGCTCCCTGCTGCTGTGCATGAGCAGGGGATGTGCTGCCCAATTCCCCCCGTGCAATCAGCTCTGCTTCCGACGCAGGGACTCTCGCTGACCTTTCTGCCAGAGCCGCACTTAATAAATGTCACATTTCCAGCCTATTTTTACACCAGGTAAATGAGCTGGTCTCGTTCTTTCTCACCTGCCCCTGGCCCACCTGGCACCTCTGGTGCTGCTCGACTGCCAGGAGCTGGTGGCATTTCACTGTGGTCCTGCTGCTACCCCTGCTCCCTTTCCAGTGCAGGAAAGTAGGGAGAAACTGCCTGTCCGTGGGGATGCTGCCACCCTTGCAGGCTGGCGGTGGTGCCACACTGGCAGCCCCAGCAGCGACACTTTCACAGTCCCAGCTCTGTATCCCCACTGGTGCAGGTGCTCCGTGGATTCATCTCCTCCTGTCCGGAGCGTTGGCAGCTCCAGTGCCGTTACACATGAGCCGCCTGGGCACGGCTCGAGGCTCTGCTTGTGCCAGAAAACGGAGGACTTTAATGCAATTCGTTGCCATTTAATTTTACACAATTCCTGCTGCTTAATCCACTGAGAAATGCTAATTTATACAATTCACGTCTAAAAATAAATGTCAGTCCAGCAGCTCCCAGCAGCGGGTAGCTGCTCCCAAAAGTCCCCAGCGGAACTTTGTGCGGGGAACCCCTGGCTGGCACCCGCCGGTGCTCCCTTCCCGCCAGGCACAGCATCCCTGCCCCTCTCCTGCCTTTAGCTGCACAGACCCCAGTGCCAGCCCCAGCCTGGCACCACACACGGGCAGCGGGTGCCCAGGACCGCGGGGTGGGTGCAGGGCTGCACCCATGGGTGCTGCGTCCCCCCAGCCCACGTGCAGGGGCTGGAGCGGGAGCGCGGTGTGGGGAGGCGAGGGCGCCGCAGCGGGGGAGCGGAGCTGCTGGAGGAGCCGGCGGCTTTCCCACCGTCTCCGTGATTGAGATCGGATCACCGTGAGCATAAAAAAGCTCTCTTCATAATTATATTTAATGAATTGACTTTAAAAGCTCTTACGCTCTTATCTGGGTAATTTAATATCACACACTTAATAAGCCTGTCTCCGATACGGGGGGGAGCCAGCGGCCAGGACGCCCGCGCCTGCTGTGGCTCCCCCGGGACGCGGGACGTGCCACGAGGCCGCCCCACGTGCCGGGCTGCCCACGGGGGGAGCCCCACGCGGGGGTGCCCCACGGCCAGCAGAGCACAGG